TGGAAATATCTGTTTGTGGTTGGTGTGTGCAATTCTAGGTCAGTAGGGGTCAGAAGGGACATAATCCCCTGATAAAACAAGTGATGGCTTTTTACTTTTCCATTTCATGCTGAATATACAGTTTCAATAAAAGAAAGAGCAAACCCTTTTTCAGGAGCACAGTTCTGAAAGTAATCTGAAGGAACAGGTGCTCAGAGCAGTCTGGGTCCCTCTTACATAAAATAGGTGCTAGGAGTCAGACTGTTTTTATTCAGGAATATCTAATGTTGCACCCCACAGTAATGCCACAATTCTGGCTCACAGTTATGCAGCCCAAGGTCCGTGGCCCCATAGTTTGGACCTGGCAAGGGTGTTACATCATGGTGGGTGTAAATGTTAGGGTAAGTGCTTACATCTTGTGCCAGAAAGGAAAGAGAGGGAGGGAGGGAGGGAGGGAGGGAGAGAGAGGGAGAGAGAGAGAGAGAGAGAGAGATCTTGGGAAATGAAGATAATTCAGTACTTGTAACAACTTTATCCAATTTCAAGTCACCTGACTTTCTCTTTATCACTGTTTTTCTTTCATTCTAGTCTGAGATGTAATGCTGTTTGTCCACCACATCTGAGAGCTGCTTTCCCTCTGACCTGCCCAGTAGGGGATCCCCCCAAAGTCAGACACTGAGCAAGAGCCTCCTTAGACACAAATCCAACATTTTTTGAAGCAGCAAAGGACCCCCAACACTTCAGAGGTATCCAGAAGGAATTCAGCTATGCTAACTCAGCCACCCCTGGTGTTCCCAGAACCACAGAGAGAGAAACACACAGCTAGCCCACTGAGTGAGGCCAGCCCACAGACTCAGCTTTCAGAAGCATTAAGCCAAAGAAGGTTCTCCCTTCCACTGAATGAACAGAACTTAGCTCTCATGAAGCCCAGATCACTAAGGGATGAGAAGAAGAGGAAACTTACTAGACTTTTTGTTCTCTGCCCATTCCCAAAACTACTGGAACAAGAGACCAGTTATAATATAAATGTATATCCTACTATTGGAACAAATACTGTTCTGTTGTTTATAAGGAAAAAGTTATATTCTTATAACTAACTGTATTCTTATATAATGCTCTTGTGAGCTTAGGCTATTTGAAGTTTCCTTTGTTTTACTTTACTGGGTAGATACCTTGAAATGTAACACTAGGGTGCTCAGAGATGTTTTATTGCATTGTGTTTTTTTTTACGATATCCTGGGATGTTTTGTTACTCTATAAACTGTAATGCTTTACACTCACTATGTCTGACAGTTAGTAAAGATATTAAACTAAAAGAATGGAAAGCTTACCAAATGGTAAAATGGTTTAAAGAGGCACCTGATCCAATTAGTCCAACAGAAGTATAGATCAAACGTGTTTATCAGAAATCTAAACTTCTGCTGATTATATGTGTTTTTTGAAGATGTAATGACCATTTAACCAGGTCCTAGCCCAATTAGTTTGACCTAGCTATGGATCAAAAGGTGTCCGATGTCCTGACCCAGGCCTGGGATGTCTACTTTGTAAGCTATGTTGGCCAAGAGAACTCAGGAAGGAATTTCCTGCGATAACATGGCCCATCATGAAAAGAAACATAGGGCCCAGGTGCTAGCCATGCATGATAACATAAAATAGACTATATAATCCTCATCTGTACTTGGTTCAGGGCCCCAGACAATCTAAAGCTTTTGTTCCTTCTGGGACCCTCATACATGAGTAAGGAATAACCAGTCTTTCTAACTTTCCTGGATGAATACTTGTTCTCTTGGCTGTTTGAAGAATTTTGTTCCACAACATTGTTACTACTGTTACTGCTGTGGCTATTATCATCATTAAACAGACAGACTGGCTAGACTGCCTAACAAGAACTCAACTAGTACCGTTGTGCATTTAGTCTTTGATCTGGAGTTGGGTGACTACTCCTGGGAAAATGTGAATAAAGGTCTATTCATCATAGGCACCAATGACAAACCAAAGAAATTATTCCACCCAAGTCTACCCTGGTGAACCAACTAATTTATTGAGGTAACTTATAGGAGTATGGGTGACTCAAAGGCACCTGCATCACCAAGAAGCCCACCTCAACATGGATGATAACTCATGAAAGCTGTGTCACTGGAGTTCTTCACACAACTTATAGACAGCTGCACTGACAAGTTTCCTCAGCAATTGGTTAGTGCTTATATAACCTTGGGAGGGGCCTCATGAGCCTTGTTTTTTGTTTGTTTGTTTGTTTTGTTTTGTTTTTGGTCTTTTTGAGACAGGGTCTCCCTGTAGCCCCAGCTGGCCTGATACCTGCTATGTAGACCAGGCTGGCCTCGAACTCACAGAGATCCTCCTGCCTCTACTTCCCTGGGATCAAAAGTGTGCACCACCACTCCAGCCTCAAGAGCCTTGTAACTTTCTGGGCTTCCTGCACCATATAAGTTTCATGAACTAGCAGTTTCATTGGCTTCCTGTATCTTAAGTGTCTCTCCTCTTTACAGAAGGTAATATTTCCATTCAGAGGAAGTAGCTACACAGCACTCCACCCCTTCCTCCAGACCATACATTTTTTTTCATCCCTTCTTCCACAGTGTTACTTAAGCCTCAGCAGGGCCAATATAGATTTGTGCTTGTTTTCTTCCTCTATGGCAGAACATTAGGCAATTGAGTCACAGCAATGGTCACTTATTCTGAACAATTTGTTATAAGTCCCCACAGTAACCACTGCCCATGGCAAAAAAGAAATCTCCCTCCACAACCAAGAATGATAGGAGCAGTATTGGATGGATGTAAATGCAAATGCATAGAGGGCAACTTGATAGGCATGTCATATCCATTCAGCAATAGCAGCAGCTTCCTAATTAGAACCCATGACCTGCTCTGGCCACAGATTTTATCTTGGCTCACAGTACCAAATGTGAGCTCTCTCCAGATCTTAAATCTAACTAGAAAGCAGTTGACCACACCCATGAGAGTTATCCCACTATTGTACCACTAGGCACATCTTGCCTGGCATGTTATTAGTGTAGCATGCAGTGTCCATAACAAAGCAGGACTGTCAACAATTTACCCCTAGAATCCTGCATAGCACCTTCTGGCACTAGAAAAGACAGCCAGTAGGGAGGGAGATTCCAGATGAGTCCCAGCCTGATTTCTCTATGTTGTACAGCCAAGATGTATGGTGCCTTCAGCAATAAGGACTTACCCTTTGGTTCTGGTATGCAACCACAGCAGTGACAATAACATTTATGGTTTATGGGGCTGCAGGGCCTCCCTGACCAACAACTTGTAGGGTGGTAACCCACCTCTGTCACTAAGATTCTGTTCAATAACCTTATGGGTGTACCTTTTTCCACCCACACAGAGTGCCTTCATTTAAGCTCTTTAACCACTGTTTTTACTATTCCTCCAGATGCCTTTCCAAATCTGTAAGATACTCAAGGTTTAGTGTTATATAATGAAACCTTTTTATAACAGATAGACAGGATCTCTGAAAGCACATCGCCATCTGTTCCAAGCAAGTGCCAATTGGTCTTGGGAGTCAGCAGCCACAGGCATACTGAAAATAAAATACTGGCAAGGTCCAATACCACATGAAAGATCCTGTCGTTTATATCAGTTGTTCTACCAGAAGAGCAACACTGGGTATTACAGCATGGCTGGGGGGCAGTATCTCATCTATCCCTCCACAATGCACAATCATTTCCCATGAGTCATTCCATTTCATTCTGAGGCCCAGCTGTAGGACCACCATGCATCTACTTGCCTTCAATGGGTTCAGCAAGCCTTTCTTACACTGGCCCAGCCCAGAGCCAGAAGTATAGAAAGTTATCCTCTTGCCTGTTACCGGAACTGACTCCCCAGTTCTGGCTGGCCTCCAATTGATGCCATAACTGCTACCTCTCCATCACCCACATTTGGCTCCTGAAAAGACCCCAGGCTAACCAAACAAACTTCACTTCAGGAGATAAATGTACACAGCATGACTGGGGAATAATTGTGCATTCCTAAGACAAGATTAATATTTTCACATGTACTACTCTGTTGTTGACTACTTCTTTTGTCCCTGTGGCAAAGTATTGCTCAGGTTTCAAAGCCCTCTAGAGGCTCACATGGATAGCATTCAGCTGAATCCACATACCAGTCCCAAGGTTCCTGCTGATTTACTTCTTCCTAAACTCTCCTATGAACTCAGATCTATCTGGCTCAATGAACTGGAATCAAATACCACCTGCTCCATACCCAATTCTCTCAGTAATACCAAACTGATTACTGGTAATAAACTGATTAGCATAATACCAGACCTTCCTCTGATATCTTCCAGTCTTTGATATTCATGGGGATCTCAGCCAGCAATAACCCCGTGTCCCTAATGTCATATGAACTGGTCCATCAGGAACTGTTTCCCCTCGTATTGCCTCA